CTTATTTCCAAAAATCTAACTTTAATTCAGAAAAGTATTTTTCCCTTCCATGCTTTTAAGGTTCTATATAAAACAAAAATAATAAACTTGAAGAAAGAAAACATAATTGAAGTAAAAGATTTTTGGAACAGAAGAGGCCTCTCATTGGCAATAAAATGGAGGTCCAAATGGGTGAAACAGATAATGGTTTAGAGGTGGCAACTGATTTCAGATCAGAAGCCAGGTTTTAAGGTCTTCCGGTCCCATTTTATTTTATTATTTTATTTACTCAACCACTGAGCCACCCAGGTGCCCCTCCCCCCCAGTCCCATGGTACTTTGTCCCATAGTATTCCTTGGGAATGCTACAGCAATGAATTACCATAAAATTGAAAAATTATATTAACTGGAATTGCTTATTATTTGAATCCAAAATATATCATGTTCCCTCTCTCTTCCAAAGAAAAGCTAAGGCTTACTCTAAAATATGAAATATGAAGGTTCTCATTACTCATTTAAAAAAAAACATCTTGTACAAAAGATTTTCCTTGGTAATAAGCATTTAACAACCTCAGAGATAAACAATGTAGATTAATTTATTATGTTAAGTACTCATTATTAGTTCACAAATCCAAGAGACAGTTCCCATATTCAGTTGCAAGAATGCAGTATTTTAGACAATGTATAGCTTATTTTTGTGTATTCTTCTTTTATAAATATGCAAGAGCCTATTTCCATTCTTCTAAGTTTATCCTAACTTTACTCTGTAGTTCAGTATACTTAGCAAAAGAAATGGTAAAGTGAGCAAAAAGGACACATTTACAAAACATAAGTATTTTTGTGTCTATTACAAAGTGAAAGTCAGACTACAGTTTTTTTCCCCATAGATCCCTACAACAAGCATATATCAAATCAGTGAGCAAACAAAAAGCTTGTACAAATGTCTTTATGATTACACTGGCTTACTGATCCGTGCCAATGAGTGCTGCTTTAATTCCAGGTGGTCAGCATATCTCTCTGGTTAATGGCATCCAGAGGGAAATTGCTTTCCTCTCTGGTTGACTCTTTACTGCCTGCCTGGGCTGCCTGCATGCCTCAATATGTTAGAGGTTATCTCAGTTACTCATTACTTGCCCCTGATGATGTTAATTTGTGTCAAAATCATAATTCCTTTTAATTATGTGCCCAATATTCTGATTCTGATTCTAAATCTCTTCCTATAATGAAGAGGTAGGAAAAATGTTTCTATATCAATATTCTCTAACCCCCTGCACTCATCCATATTCTCTAGTAGACACCCAGACATTCCATTCACATTCAATGAATATTTATCAAGACGTTTCTGGGTCCTAGATGCTAGCCTTAAGCAAGACTGATTCAGTTCATGCTCTCATAGCACTGACTTTCTGGGTTGGAATGGAGAGGGAGTGTACGAGAGAGACATTAAGCAAACAATTATATGAATTTCTCAATAAGAGTTGGAATATGTGTCAAGGAAAGGCAAAAGAAGCTATAAGAGCCTGTAAAAGTGAGTGTAATTTAATATTAGGTGAACAGAGAATTCTTGCCCAAGGAAGCAGGGTTTCAGGTGAAAAATGAATAGGAATTGGACACAGAAGGGGAATAGTGGTCATGAAGAGTTCCAGGCAGTAGAAACGGCCAGCAGAAAGACGGCATGAAGGAGCTAGGTAACAGAGAAAAAACCAATATGGCTGGCATGCAATGAGCAAAAGTAGAACAAAGCCAGATCATAGAGGGAGTCATAGGTCATGTTGAAGTTTAAGTTTTATTGCAAGCTATGTCAGGGCTTTGAGTAAGGAGATGACTCAAGCATGGTTTTAAAAGATGAGTTTGACTACTCTGTGGAGAATGAGTTTCTGGAGGTAACCAAGAGAAGGTGGCATGAACAGCTAGAGGGTATGTCTATTGGACTGAATGTGTTCCTCTGCCTGCAATTCATATGTAGAAGCCTCAAACTCCAATGTGGTGGTATTGGGAGGCAGGACCTGTAGGCAGTAATTAGGTTTGGATAAGATCATGAGCATGAAGTCTCCATGATGGGATTAGTGTTCTTATAAAAAGGAGAGAGAGGGGTTACTCTTTCTCTACCATGTGAGGACACAGCAAAAAGGTGGCCATCTGGAGTTCTCAAATTCCATAACTGTAAGAAATTACTGTCTGTTTTTTGAGCTACCCAGTCTATGGACTGTGGTATAGCAGCCCGAACTAAGATAGTGTCCAAATGGCCCAGGTGTTGGGTTAAGGTGGTAGTGCTAAAGATAAAGAACAGTACAGTTTGAGAGGTATCCTAGGAGACACAACTTAAAGTATTCAGTGACTGGTTGGACATAGGCACTAAGAAATAGGTAGATGTCTGGGATGATTCCTACTTAGGCTCCTGACATGAGCAACTAGGAGGATGGTGGAACCACTTAATGAGGTAGGAAACATTGGAGGTTAAAAAGGTTTGGCACCATAAGTTCAGTAATTGATGTGTCCAACTAGGATGTCTAGGTTATAGCTACCTGGAAATATCAAGGTACCATGTACCTGGAGATATATGGATGGGCTGGAATTCAGAAGGGAGGCCTGAAGGTATAAATTCAAAGCTTGTCAACATGAAGTTAATAATTGAAGGGATGGAAGTGTATGAGATCTCTGAGTGTATAGAGAGAGGAGAAGAAAAGAGAAAGGAAAAGAAGATAAAGAAAGGCAAAAGGGCTTGCAACTGGCCACAGAGCCATACAACAAGCATGTATCAGCATATATCAAATCAATGAGCAAGCAAAACATTTGTGTAAATACCCTTGTGTTTATGATTAAACTAGGTCACTGATGTGTATCAGTGAGCGCTGCCTCGATTCCAGGTGGTCATATATATTTCTCTGGTCAACAGACTAAGTCCTGAGACAAAGAAAAGCAACCAGGGAAAACTAGAAAAAGGAGCCAGAGAGCAAGAAAGACAGGAGACCATAGGGTCACAGAAACAAAGGAAGTAAAAAATTTTTAAAGTTAGGAGTAGTCAACTATGGCAAATAGGATGTGTGCTGTCAATTAGATTTAGCAGCATGAAGGTCACTTCTGATCCTAGTAAAGTAAGTTTGGTAGATGGTAGAATTAGAAGCAGATTGTGATGAGTTGAGGACTGTTATATGGAGAAAAACAAAAGATGAACCCAACTGTTGCTAGAAGCTTGTTGTTAAAAAGAGAAAGAGAGAGAGAAGATGAAATGGTAGATAGAAACAGATGTGAGGGAGGATTGTCCTAATATGGTAGATACATGAACATGTTTGAATTTCCATAAGTGTTCTTCAAAAAAAAAAATTAACTCCTCTAAGCATAATTGTTTTTCTCCCAAATATTTATTTGCTCATGGTATTCTGTGGATTAAGAGATCTAATATAATTTAAATTTCAGTTTTAAAAAGAATCTGGCTTGTGGGGGGGGAGAGAATAATTTATTGCTATGTATTGCCATCATGTCATTTAAAAAAATCCATGGTTAGGGGTGCCTGAGTGGCTCAGTGGTTGAGTGTCTGCCTTTGGCTCAGGGCGTGATCCTGGAGTCCCAGGATGGAGCCCCACATTGAGCTCTTGGAAGGAGGCCTGCTTCTCTTTCTGCCTCTGTCTCTGCCTTTCTCTGTGTGTCTCTCATGAATAAATAAATAAAATGTTAAAAAAAAAAAAGTCCATCGTTAAGGATGACTTAAGACATGGTGAGATTTAGAAACTCAAATGCTCAAGCAAGAAGCAATCCCCAAACTCCCCCCTCCGCAGCCACCAATTTTGCTATCATCCATTTATTCATGTAAAAATATTTATTGAAAATCTACTATGTCTCATAATCTATCTTAAGCACTGGAAATACAATGATACAGGGCAGCCTGGGTGGCTCAGTAGTTTAGTGCTGTCTTCAGGCATGATCCTGGAGACCTGGGATCGAGTCCCACGTCTGGCTCCCTGCATGGAGCCTGCTTCTCCCTCTGCCTATGTCTCTGCCTCTCTCTCTCTCTGTCTCATGAATAAATAAAATCTTTAAAAGAAAAAGGAAATACAATGATACAAATCATGAGCAAGCCCATTTTCACTACTTCTTTTTAGCATTGTACTGGAGGTTCTAACCAGTGTAAAGTTAAAAAAAATACATTTTAACCATATAAAAATTGGGAAGAAATAAAACTTACTATATTTAGGGAACATAACTGTGTATCCAGGAAATCTCAATGAATCTATAGATATATGAGTAGAATTAATTAACCGGTAAGGCTGCTGAATACAAAATGTGGTAGGCAGAATTTTAAGTTGTCCCCCAAGCTTCTAGCTCCCGCAGTGTACATGCCCTATGTAATCCTCTCCCTTTAAGTGTGGGTGGACCTGTGAAAATGATGAGCCCTCACTTGCATAATTAAGTTATAGTATATGGCAAAGGTGAAGGAACTTTGCAGATATAATTAAGAGCATTTGAACCTGAGTTAATTAAAAGCGAGATCATCCTGATGGCCCTACATAATCAGGTAAGTTCTTTTAAAAGACAATTTAAAGGTCAAAGATGTCCTAAGTCAGAGATATTTGGAGCAAAAGAAATGGTCTCCTGCTTTAAAGAAACAAAATGCCATATTTCAGAGAGAGCTATGTGGCAGGAAATTCCAGTGGCTCCTCAGAGTGGGGGATGATAGCTAGTATGAAAGAGGAACCTCAGTCCTACAGCTACAAGGAATTGAATTACAATAATAATCAGTGAGCTTGGAAGAGGACCCTCCACCTGAAATGAGGTGATGAAGGCACGGTGATTTTAGCCTAATGAGACTCTCAGCAGAATATCTAGCTAACTAGAATCTGGTATCTAGACTGTCTCATTGAAACTGTGGGATAATGAATTTGTTTTCTAAAATGTTTTAAAGTTTATGATAGTTTCTTATGCAGCAACAGAAAACCAATATATTAATTCACAATACACAAATTCAATAGTTTTTATATGGATAAGTAACAAAATTAAAAAAGCAATGTTACCTACCACTCATAATTGCACAAATTCCTCCATCCAGAAGGAAATGGAGTCATTTAACTGAAACATATAAAAAAAATAAGGATGAGGAAGACGTGGTTCTCCAGAAAAAGAAACAAAACAAAACTGGGGCCGCATTACAGAAGAGGAAATAAATGTGGGGTGAAAACTCAGCAAATGTCCACTAAGGTCTCCTGCAAGTGAAAACTCAGATTTGTTACTTTGTGTTAGGTCAACTTCCTTTTAATCTCTTTCATTTGAACACACATGCTTCAGGGATTTGACCTGTTTCTTCCACTGCTAATGCAATTGCAAACAGACTCTTTTTCCCTTTTGTCAGCTTAGAAATGTGGTACTCTCTCTCACATCTCTGTTTCTCTGGCTTGGAAATAAGCCCAAAAGATGTATTCCTTTGAATCAATGCTTTTGTATGTTTGGGGTAAACACCCTACGTTTATAGCAACATTACTTATAGTCAAATTATGGAAGTCAAATTATGGAAGCATCCCAAATGTCCATTGATAGATGAATGGAAAAAAAAAAAAAAAGATGTGGTTAAGGTACCTGGGTGGTGCAATCGGTTGACCATGTGACTCTTGCTCTCAGCTCAGGTCTTGATCTCAGGGTGGTGAGTTCAAGTCCCATGTTGTGCTCCGCACTGGGCATGGAGTCTACTTAAAAAATAAACAAAAAAAGAAGATGTGATATATATGTATATACAATGGAATATTATCCCGCCATAAAAATTAATGAAATCCTGCCATTTGCAACAGTATGGATGGAGCTACAGAATATAATGTTAAGTGAAATTAATCAGAGAAAGACAAATATTGTATTATTTCGGTCATATGTGATATTTAAGAAACAAAAAAAATGAGTAAAGGGGAAAAAAGAGACAGCTACATCAAGAAACAGACTTTTAACTATAGAGAACAAACTGATGGTAACCAGAAGAGGCTGGCGGGGAGGGTGAAATAGATGATGAAAATTAAGGAGTGTGCTTGGAATGAGCACAGGGTATGAATGGAATTGTTGAATCACTATTTTGTACACCTGAAACTAATATAATACTATGTGTTAATTAATTATATTGGGAGTAAAATAATGAAGAAAATAAGACCCAAACAACCAAACAAAAAAATAACAGCAAAAATCCATTTAGAGTTTTAAATGTTTCTGCTAGAAGCTACAAAGTAATATCAAGATTGATAAAAATAATTGAACCTTGGAAAATGAGTTGTATTTCAATCCACCTCTAAGAGGTTCCTTTCAGGTGCCTCAGGGGCTGCCTCCCTGGTAAGCTTTCTTTACCATCGTCTTCTCTGGTCTGAATTACTCAGCTTCTCTGATTTTGTTCCCTTACACTGTATTGTAATTTTATGTTTACTTACCTGTCTTTCCCATTGCCTCATAAGTTTCTTAAGGACAGGGCTTTGGCCATTATCTCTGTACCTCTGTATCACGAGTACAAAGCTCATTGTCTGGGACATACACGGTGGAGGGTCAATAAATGTTTTCTAAATTAGTCTTTCATATTTCAATTGCATTTAATCCTGATAACAGCCTTGTGAGATAGAGATCACTAACCCTCTGCTTGGAGAGGTAGGGTAAGTGACTTGCTCAAGATCACACAAAATAGATGGAATCAGGATTTGAGCTTGAATCTCTCTAACACCAAAGGTTGTGCTCTTGGTCAATGACTTGGATGAAAATTGTTCTTTTATTTGGAATAAGGTTCAAACTGTAGTTTGCAAAAGTTTTCCATTATTGGATCCTACCTGCCTTTCTAAACCTTTCTATCATTGACCTTCATGCATCTTTCCTCAATACCCTTAAACAGACTTAGGTTTCCCTCCGTCTATGCAAATCATATTCCTTCTTCAAGAACAGCTCAGATGTCATCATATCATTTACTAAATGTTCCCTTATTAGTTAGCCAGAAGTGACACCTTCCTCTTCCTCTCAACTGTCATTTATTTCCTGAACCATGGATATGACATTTATGACATACTAGCTCCTGTTCCAACTATTAGTGAACCTCTTAGTTTCCATATTAGACTCCTACACCATGACTTGTCTTCTCCTTGGCCCCTAGTATAGTGACGTCCATGTGGTAAACTTAAAAAAAAATTTGCTTATTGACTTAATGCTGGTAGAGGTGCCTTTTTTATATGCTACCCATTTTCCTTGCTGTCTAGAGGTTATGACTGTGCAAATCATTGTTAAATCTGCCCTTATATCCCATATCCTCCTCATATCCCCTAGCCTCAAAGGAATCTCAAAGGGATCTTATGCATTCAGAACCACCAGCTATTAAGTTGGCAAACTGAAGGACAGAAGGGGCTTTTGATAGCTATTAACAATATAGTTTCACAAATATTTTGAAGATATGGCTCGTAAACAATATTTAGTTTAGAAGGACTAGTGACTAAGAAAAGAAAAATAAGGAAATTTATTTTGGGTGTTTCTAAGGCTGATGTAATTTGGTCTGCTAATAGTAAAATTTCAAATTAACCAGACCCAATTAACTGGCATTAACTGCCTTTTCCATTCACACACGCATAGGCAGAGAGAGAGAGAGAGAGAGAGAGAGAGAGAGAGAGAGAGAGAGAGAGAAAGGATTTGTCCTTTGTAGGAAGAGACAAATGATACCACCAAATGACAACAGTAACAATATGTTGTCAAGGGTGCATTCAAAACAGCAACTAGCAGCATGTGTCTTCCTCTCAATAACAGGATAGCTTCCAGAAATGAAGCAATTCAAAATTCTGAATCGTACAGTAAGATACAAGGGTTTCACCAGAAAATTCACTTACCTAGCACCTGTGCTTTTCCACAAATTGTGTATAGTTAAGCAGTGTTACATCATAAGACTATAGTGAGCTACCTAGGAGCTTGTAAGTATAATATTCCTTAAAACAAGCAACTTTACAAATTTGTTTAAGGAAAGAATTATAACAACTAAACTAACTAGCAATGTCAAAAAGAGACCAGAAACCTCAAGGTGCAGCTGGAGCAAAAGACCCTGGTATGCCTTGTTTTCTGCTAAATTGCAAGCTTCTTCAGCGATCAAATTTCAAGTTTCACTGCAGCAAGGGACTCAACTGTGATTATTTAGGCTGCAAAAGTGAAACGAATATAAAGGGACATGATTGAAGTACTGAAAATTGCAATTACAGATGGCCCATGAAAATTAGTCTGTTCATCCTTTTAATCTGGTTGAATGATACAGGAACAAGAGAATTTAAAAAGAAGTTTAATATTAATGGAAATACCAGAGAATTAAATGATTTCATGCGGCACTTTTAAAGAGGTACTATTCACAGTGGCAAAGGAGGGAATGGAGAAAAAGGTTGATATAAGATGAATTCTTTTTTTTAAACTGAGTAATCACACATATTAACACTGAATGACAACCTCAACAAAATCAAGTTTCCAGTGATTAGAGCACAAGAACTTGCAGGCTAACACTGGAGATCCTGCTGGAAAAACACATTCATGCGTATCATAACAGTAACCTCTAAAGTAAGATTGGCAGCAAATTAGTGTGGTGAGCAAAGCAGGCAATATGACAAATCCATTCAAATGATGATGATAAGATAGCTGGTGTGTTCGTGGCTATTTCCCATAATTATGAAAAAAACCAAACACTCAGTTTTCTTTTTGTTTTGTTTTTCTCTGTTTTTTTTTTTTTTTTTTTTTTTGGCCTCCCTTCCCGGAGCCCTTTCCAACCCTCTCTACCCCCAAGTCTATATATCCAAATTCCAGAAGTGATCTCTGACCTCGCTACTGAGAAAAAGCAAGCGTCTACTCTTCATCCCTCTTCCACACCTCAAGCCACACAGGTCATTTTTCGCTTTGTAACAGAGGTATGAATGTGTGGTTTGTTTCCCCTACTAGACCTTAAAAGCATAAGATTCATGATTTGTCTCTGCATTTTCTACATTATCATTTCTTTCTTAAATATAGTAAGCAAACAAATATTTGTAAATATTATGAACGTGTTTCATGAACGAGATAGTAAGGATGGAGTTGCATTGATGTAGCTTTGTCTTATCCATATTCTCTTTGACCAATGTCTCATTTTTTTTCAAAGGCTAAAGATGCAATTCTTATAACTTCATGGGCTAAGCATTGCCAGTGTTCAGATAGCACACAATGGATATATTCCAAAATCTTCACATGAATTGATTTTCTGAATTTAATTATATTTTATTGCCAGAGGAATCTTGCTGCTTAGAGGAACCATGTATAGGATCCTTTTGAAATACTTACCTCCTCCTAATTTAAGTATTTTGTTATGATTTTAACACAAAGGGATAATTTAACATTTTTTAAATAGTTCTCTACACAAAATGATAGTCACTCTTTTGGTGCATAGCATTATAAATTTTGACAAATGCCTAGTCACATAATCAAGAGACAGAACAGTGCCATCATTCAGAAAATTATCTCATGTTGTCCCTTTGTTAGCCCATCCCCTCACCCAAAATCCTTGGCAACCACCCATCTGTTCTCTGTTCTAATAGTTTTGTCTTTTCCAGAACGTCACATAAATGGAATCAGATAATATATAGCCTTTCGAGTCTGGCATCTTTCGCTTAGCATAATGCATTTGAGATTCATCCATATTGTTGATGTATCAGTAGTTCATTTCTTTTAATTGCTGAGTTGTCTTCCAAGGTAGAGAGGTATCACAGTTGAAGGATATTTGAGTTGTTTCCAGGCTTGGGCTATTACGAATAAATCTTTTATAAATACTCGCAAAGAGGTTTTTGTGCGAATATATACTTTCATACTTTCATTTCTCTTGGATAAATATCTAGGAGTGGGATTACTTGGTCATATGGTAAATGTATATCTTCATAAAAACTGCCAAACTGTTTTCCAAAGTTGCTGCATTTGCATCCCCATCTACAATATATGAGAATTGCTCTGCATCCTAACCAGCGTTAGGTATTATAGGCTGTGTTTTTATTTTTTTTAATTTATTTTAAAGATTTTATTTATTTATTTTAAAGTAAACTCTACACTCAACACGGGGCTCAAACTCAGGACTCCGATATCAAGAGTCCCGTACTCTACTGACTGAGCCAGCCAGGCATCTCCAGCAGCTTTGTTTTTAAAAGCCATTCTAGTGAGTGTGTAGTGGTATCTTATTGTGGTTTTAATCTGTCTTTTCCTAATGACCAGAGAGGTTGTGCATCTTTGCAGGTACTCATTTGCTATCTGTGTATCTTCTTTGGTGAAGTATCTGTTGACATTTTTTGTTCATTAAAGAAATTCAGCTTCTTATGTTTTGCTTTTACTAAATAATCTTGAAAGTTACATATTAATTTTGTAGAAAAAAGGAAGAAAATTAAAATCACCCATGAATCCACACTAACAGATAATGATTTTCAAATTTTGGTATGTGTATTGCCAGACTGTTTTTTTTATGTAGGTACACATGTTACAGACATGTAACCTGAATTTCTTGGTTGCAACAGCCTACATATACAAACTAGGTCAGTACGTAGTGATAACTCAAATGTTACTCACATCCTTTTCTACACTTTGATCACAAAATGTTTAAGACAAGGGAATGGAGAATTCTTTGATGGAGAAACTAACCTCAGAAAAATATTTTTATACTCTGGGATTTTATAAATAGCCAATAAAAAGACCAAGT